CGAGTTAACCAGGTTCCTCAAATTATGGTGCTCATGACGGATATGACGAGCTAGAATGGCTCATCCAGCAGAGAAACCAAGGCACGGCGCACCAGTTAACTTGACGTATGAACAATCGTGTGAGCAACCGGGGGGAACAAGAAGATACGTGACACAGAGCATCTTCATATAGCAAATACCGTGTAAAACCAAAAGATATGGATTCTTGGATATATGATCAACTGGGAAGGCAAGAAACAACAATTAGAGTTGATTAGCAGATGGAGGAGGAAACACAGGATCTCAGTTGGTTCAAAATCAATATAACTACGTCAAAAATGAAAAGAGGGAGATATGTTAGGGTGATTACAAGTGATTCCACAAGCACTTGCTCGAGATTAGAAGTGCTTTGATCAGAGGTTCTCAGGGAAGTCCAGCATGTGTTCTTCAACGCTCGTAAGTCCCCATTTTTCCACGACATTAAAGAAGAGTTTATGTAAAAAAAGGCTTAAATTTTCCTGATACTACTGGTATGATAGTATCGAGGATCTTTTAGACTACCTTAATCACTGCATATATCAATTCCACAGTGTCTTAAAGGTGGTGATGTGCTAGAGATTTGCTCTAACACTCAAGACTGGAATCAGAAATGGTTTCAAATTCTCAAACATATGACAATTAATAGCTTCGAGTAGTTAGTTGACCAGTTCTTAGGTCATTTCTTTAGCAATAGGAATCGCAAAAAGCTTTCTGTTTTTCTTTTTTGAGTCACAGAGAAGAGAAATGAGAGTCTGTAGAATCTTCTTCTGATTTTAACTGGTCATGGTGGACAAACTGGACCAAAACGTTACAATAATAGCTTGTTAAATAGGATTCAAAACATAAAAAACCCTCCAGAAACCATGATGGAGCTATTCATCAAGGCCAAAAGTACATAAATTATTTTGAAAGGTAAGATAACTTTTACTAAAGGTATATAAATGTTGAAGAGTCCATGCAGACGAAGATCGTGGGGGGAAAACTCAAGTGAGAGACTCAAAGATGAGATTATTTTGAAAATTATGGCAAACAATTTGTTCTCTTCTTGTTGCTCTGTTGCGCTGGTGCTCCTCCCTTAATTCTTGATTTAACCTCATACAAAATGACATGAATTCACCTTACAAAACCAGTCAATTTATACCAAGGAATACCCAAGCAATACAAAAAAACAATGAGAAAAAAAAAAAAAAAAAAAGAAATCGCAGATCAAAGCCCTCCTCCAATTCGTAGATACTGTGGCAGAGGCATGACTTGTCAATAAGATGGAAAACAGTGTGAGCAACGGCAAGTTACGACAGAAAGGATCCTTTTATATGGTTTTTGAGAAGCCTTAATGTTATTTGTGAAAGAAAATGATGATCTTTATTCTTGTGATGCTACTATTTGTAGGCATATGTACAAGTGCATTTATAAGAATACAAAATCAAAAGGTAATAAATGTAGAATAACTATATAATAAATTTTAAATGCACAATATATATTTTATATGCTCCGACACCCTTCTGCAAACTGACAGCAGCGAGGAGCAAAGTCGCAGCTTATCATGAAATTTGACGAATAAAGGCTTTGGGAAAGGTTTGCAGAAAATGACTGCAATTCGATCTTTAGAAGAAATAATACTGATTTGCAGTTGTTTTCCTGCAATTTGTTCATGAACAAATTTAATGTGTTTAATAGGACATTAAAATAGAAGTGAGATATCAACATAATGTAATATTTACTTGACATTATTTGGATTAGAAGTAAGAAGCATTGGAAAGATAATGATGAGAGGACAAACTGAAGATCATAGTCTAATATAAACTAGTTATACAATGAATTTAAAATATACAAAATACATTTTACATGCTTGACATTGGAGCATTTCAACTTTTTCAAGGTTGAGGTCGCTACAGGAGAATCAATAACTCCCTTTCTTTGGCTTATCCCTTAGCTTTTTTCGGGTGGAGGAGGTGATATCTTGAATACACCAAGACAAGAGAGAGTAATAAGAGCAGAAAGAGAGAGAGAGAGAGAGAGAGAGAGAGAGTGTGTGTGTGTGTGTGTGTGAGTGAATGAGAGTGAGTGATGGGAGCGAGAGAAACAAGGCATACATATACATATATGTATATATATAAGAGAAGGGAAAGAGAGATTTATCAGAGCAAAGAAAGAGAGAGACTAAATAGTGTCAAATTTTACTTGTGATTACATTCTTTTTGAAATGTAAAATGAAATTTATTAGCAAGGATGACGAGAAACCACCAACAAGGTTACAAAGAAACCTCCATGAGTACAAGAAGCTCTCGTCATAGGACTAAGAACAAGTAAGAACACAATAAAACCCTCACATACTCATCCAACAAGAAACAAGATAAAGACAGTGAAAAATAGTGGCAATAATAAGGTTTGTAATTTACCATAACATAGCATAAATGAGCAATTTCAAAACATAATTTCTAAAAGTTCTTGAAATTCTGCAACTAAAAGAATCTAGTTTATTTTGGTTCGATCAATGAATAATCTTAATACTTTACGTAATTTTATTAAAATAAAAAATTTTAAAAATGTTTTCATCCAAGAAAAAAGCAATTTTTAGTTACATTTTCCTTAAAAAACTATATATATATATACACACACACACACACTAGAATATCTCAAGAAAGATATATAAACATACATGATATCATGAAAATTAAGACTAATTTAAACTTAAATTTTGAGGTTAAGTTTTGAGTGTCATGGATTTTTGTTAGGCTTGGGTCTGAAGCATAATAATCACTACTCCAAATGAATGCACAATAACAATAGTCTTGTTCTTGTCACCCTCTCATAGCATACGTACATATATATATATATATATATGTATCTTTGAGCTATGCAAAGAATAACCCAGTAAGTGTGATACCCATTAGGTTTCCAAGGGCTCGAGGATTATAACAGAAATTTCAAGCTGACTGAAAATCGTTTATCATGTGATTTGGACCTGAACTTATAACACATGCTGACTAAAACATTTAAGCTGCAAAAAGTATGTGCTAATTTAGAGGATAAACATGAACAAAAACAAAGACCCAAATCGGAAACTGCATATATATAATATAAGCAAGAAATAAAGTTCCATTGATGCAGATAGATGAAGCAGGCAAGTCATGAAGTCGGTAATGATAAAGCTGAGAGGAAGAAAATCATAAAAGCCAACACTCCAAATCGCCGGCATTTTATGCTCTTATCGGAACTACACAGTAAATTGATTGAACGTAAAGAATAATTAGGAAATGGGAAAAAGCACGAGGGACTGAAGGTGATGACAGAAGAATAGAGAGCACAAAGGAGTGAGATGCACTGTTTGGTCCTTCTAATTTGCATTTCATCATCTGTGCTCTCTATCTTCTGTCAACAACACCAGTTATAATACAGTCCCCAAGCTTATAATCTAAAAAGTGAAAATCATATCATATTCAAGAATATCACAGAATAGGAAAGCCCGGGGAGAGAGAAAGAGAAGGGAAGAGAATAGGAAAGTCTGAAGAGGGAGAAAGAGAAGGGAAGAAGGGGAAGAGGCTTTAAGTGGTACCTGATCAGCCCTGAATGACCCAATAGATTTCTTGATCTAGGGTTCTTATTTATAGGGTAACCTTACCTCTATGTATATATATATATGCGTCATGGCACCTGTACTTGTTCCTGTTTTCATTTAATTGTTATTATTATTATTACAAAATAATCATCTTTTGAATTATGATTGGTATGGACAGGAAAAGGTGTCAGCATAAGATTCATCATCATCATCATCATCTAAATTTATACAATATGTAAACTTTATTAGATCTTCTGGCATTTTTATATTCTCTTCTCTCCTTCTTAAATTAAAAATAAATAAATCCACACTTGACATTCGTAGAACCAAGATTTGCCATAACTAAGTTTTTTAAAGAACGAGCTAAGGAAAAGTTTAAAAAAAAAAATTACTTTTGTAAGAAAAATATTCTAGCAATACATTGCTACATAGCAAGATATGGAAAATGATATGTTAATTTTAGTACTTAAAATAAATAATATAACACCTATTAAAAATTTTCATATATTATGGTATAGAGATAGAGGATAGTAGGTCTTTTTTTTTTTTATTTTTCAAGCATGCATGCGAACAGATTCATATATATATATATGTGTGTGTGTGTGTATGAACAATAAATTTAATTATTTTCTACCAATTCAAGCTTTTAAGAGAACTGAGTTGTATTCCAGTATATAGTTCTTTACATGAACTGGTCCAGACAAGCCATCCATCCATATTCATTTCAAATTGTTCTGACCGATTTTACCCAGCTGAAACAAGATTTTAATCTCTGTTACCATCAACTACTTATATATATATATATATATATATATATGTATCTATGTATATATATATGTTGGAGCTAAAATGTAAACAGTATTTTCTGACAATATGTGAAATAGGCTGGCAATGGAGGCATTTTCTGGCCATTTAAACATAAACCGTACTTCTTTTTCCAATCATGGGATCGACGTGGTTGCAGTAAATTTTTGTTTCCTGAATAGAAATTCTTTATTAATTTGTGATTGTAGTAAATTATTGAATGTTTCGTCATATGCATGCTTATCGCTTCTGATTCTGCCAGTTATTTACAGAAATTCCCTCTTGTAGATTCTTTTCTCTTCTTGATTTATACATAACAGTAGAGATCCATCGTGCTAATATATATATATATATATATATAGAGAGAGAGAGAGAGAGAGAGAGAGTAGAATATATAACTCAAAGTAATCTTTCTTTTCCTTTTCATAATCTTTCTAGTTATCGGAGATTTAGATGTAAACTTTCAAGTAAAATATATGAACAGACTGTTTGCTTTAAGCCAAATAACGCCCCATGCCTGCATTTCACGATAATGGCACACATCATCGATCAGAAATGAATTATGATAACGACATACATATACATTACATATAACTCATGTCCTAATCACGTAGAGACGTCATTAATCCATGCGATACATAGTGTATCAGTTAGTAATGATATATATAAACACATGCAGTAATTACTTTTCTTTTCCTCCGAATCACGCTTAAAAAAAAGTAACGTTGCCTGCATGATGAACATACACACATGCATATGGGTCGAAAAATCTGGAGATCCTCCATTGAATTAGAATCTTTGTAGATGAAGAAAGGGATGGATGGCGTCAGAGATAAGATTACGAACGCAAGTGGCCAAGAAGCATGGAAAAGAATGGAGAGAGCTGGAGAATTCCCCACCAGAAATGCCTTATC